GACAGCAGCAGGCCCGGCGCGCAGCGGGCACTTGCGAGGGGGAGGACGGTGAGGTGGAAGGTCAGACAGGCGGCTTCCCAGGCGCCTCAGGGCTGGAGCTGTGCCTCTCGCTGGGCTGCTTCCCAGGGCCCGGGACGCCCCCGGCGCTGCAGAGCTCAGCACCCGGCAGGGCCGTCGCCACCCAGGCTCGGCCACACTCACAGAGCTCAGACACGCCGCCAGGGTGCCCCAGGACGGAGGCAGCGTCAGGAGCTGAGTGTCCACAGAGCCTCAGGAGCTCCCATGACCTCTGCTGCCTCCATGGCCTCTCCTCCTGAGTGGCTTTGGGAGAGGCTCTGCCTCCGATTCAAAGTGCTGTGCAGCCCGGCCGGTGCGGCTCCGTGGTGAGCACCCAGAGGTCGCCAGTTTGATTCCCGGTCAGGGCACAGGCCCAGGTTGTGGCCTGATCCCCAGTGGGGGGTGTGCAGGAGGCTGCCAGTCGATGTTCTCTGTCCTCGATGTTTCTGTCTCTTTCTCCCTGTCTCTTCCTCTCTCTCTAAAATCAATGAAGAAAAAAATTTTTCTAATTAAAAAAAAAAATCAAAATTGCAGCACTGGTCCCATCTCGTCATTCTGACAGGTGGGCCTTTGTTTCTAGCATCTGAGTAAGTTTTTCTGAGCACGCCTGGTGCTGTGTGACGACCATGCAGAAACATCGAAGATTCCGTTTTTAAATAAGAAGTGAGCTAGGCTTTCTGATAGGAACCTTCTAAGGACCCTCCGTGGACTGAAATTCTGGCTCAGTGATTCCTTTTAGAAGCTGACCCCACTCAACACAATGGCAGAGACGCTACAGAGAAAGCCTCTCTTTTTCCTTAGAGAGAGGAAGGGAGAGAGAGGGACACGTCGATGAGAGAGAGACATCGATCGGCCGTCCCCTGCACGCCCCCCACTGGGGATGGAGCCCACAACCCGGGCGTGTGCCCTGACCCGGAATCAAACCGGGCCTCTCAGCGCCCAGGATGACTCCCGCCCACCGAGCCACAGCGGCTGGGGGGAGAGCCCTTCTGTGCGAGCGAAGGTGTGGGTCCCACACCTCGACTGTGTGCGGTGAAGAGCCCCCGTTGCCGCAGCCTCGGCACTTGGGGCCGTGATCTGCCCGCAGGGCGGTGGTTCTGGAGCTTGTCAGAAGTGCTTCAGTTTCGTGGGTCCTGAATTTCAGACGACGACACCATGAAACAGTTTCTGGCCCTCGGTGCCGGTGGTTCAGTGGTTGAAAGCCTTCTCCGGACTTGGGCCCCAGACCCAGCCAGACTCTGGGATCGGTGGATTCTAGACACTCTTCTGGGCCCACACTCTTGTGTGGCCACGATAGATCTCACTGGACACGCTCGCGCTTTCCTGCGTCCCCACTGCCCCCACGCCACACTGGACACGTTCTGGTTTGTCTAACAGCTCACGTGTGACCCCCCTGCTGCCTTCAGGCACCCTAGCCCACATCTCTCCCACCAAGGACACTCTAGTTTCTCCTGGTGGAGGGCAGACTTGGTCGGTAGGAGCTCCCGGTGTCTCCAAAGGTTCCGTGCCACGAGCAGCATGATCACGTGCTCACACGCACGCTTCCCGGCCGAGGAGGGGCCCTGTGCACGCCCAGCGGTGCTCGGTGAAGTGGAGGAGAGAGACCGTGCAGAGTCCTCACAGGAGGGTCTAGTGGTGGGGCCGGAAATGGGCTCATGGAGTTGAACTGGGGAGAGGATCTCCTGGGCCCCCGCAGAGCCGGAGGGGCTCTTTCCAGCAGAGGGAGCCTGCGACCCGGGGGGTCGGAGCCAGGATGAGATGGGCAGCGAGGGCCACCTGCAGGGGCATCGGCCACGCCCCTGCCCCTTCACACCTGCCTGTTCTTCCGGCGCCTTGTCCCCTTCCTACGCTTCTGTGGTCTGTCCTGATGGTAAGTCTGTGAGCTGCGCACGCACACCCTGCGGGACTGGGGCACGGAGCCACCGGCCCCGCTCACAGGCAGGCAGTCCCAGTCGAGGTCGGCGTCTGATTCCGCATGGAAGCTGCTTGTCCCCTAGCTCCCTTGTGAGGCATGGTGAAGGCTCGTCCCTCGCAAGGAAGCTTCCTGTAAAGCTGTGTGTGTGTGTGTGTGTGTGTGTGATCCGGGCTCCGGGTCAGGGTGTCATCTCAGCGCCGGATCCCGTCACCGCATCATGGCCGTCGACGCCCCGTCCCCCGTGTCTGTCCGGGTCGTACCCTCTGTGCTCTCAGAGCCGTGTGCCGTGTGCCGTGTGCCGTGTGCCGTGTGCCGTGTGCCGTGTGTGTGAAGCCTGCGTCTTCCTCCCGTCGGCCTGGTGGAGGCGGAGCAGGACGCGCTCACTCTGCACCTGCCCTGACTTGGTGTGCGTCTCGCTCTGCTGCCTCCAGAGGCCCGGGTTCTCCGCAGAAGGGGCTGTGTCGGCCCAGCTCTTCCCTCCGCCCTCTTCCCTTTGCCTCCGTCGTCCGCGACCGGGCACCCACCAGTGTCGCAGCCTCGCCTCCCCCACACGCCCACGTTCGCTTTCTCTGGAGAGGGGCCTGATGCCCGCGGGGCCTGCCCTTGTGTCCTGGTCAGGGCCTGCTCTCTGCTCGCCCCACGGGGCGGACCAGGGCGGCACCCGGAGGTGTCCTGCAGGCGGTGGGCACCGTCACCCGTGGCCCAAGCCTCAGAGGGAGGCTGAAGGGGCTCCCCCTGCCTCCTAGAGCCTCCCTGTGAATGGGGGTGTGCGACGCCCCGCCTGCTGGGGCGGTGCCGAAACGCCACGCGCTCCGTTAGGCCCTGCAGAGTGGGCCAGACTTGCTGCTGCTGCCCTTCACCTGTTTTCAAGGTGACTCGGGACCCCTGCTGCTGGGTCCGGCAGACCCTGACGTGTCTCGCATGTCCAGGTGGACACTTCCTCTGTCTTTCTGTAACCCCGATGATCTCCTGAGCCGGACGAGCTGCCTCCAGAAAGGAGGGGGAACAGCCGGTCTCAGAGCTGGGCCTCGCACGTCTCCTGCCGCGGCCGCAGACCGAGGGCCTCGCCTGCCGCAGCGTAGTTCTCCTCAAGGCGCCAGCTCAGCCCAGGGCTCCCTCTCTCTCCACATTCAGGGTACGAGACCTCTGGTCACCCGTTCGAACCGGCAGGCACACAGCCGGGATGACGTGTGCAGGTGGCAGCCTGGAGGGAGGCGCAGTCTTGCTGTGAGCCTGTCAGCTGGGTTTCGAGTTGGTCTGGAAACGTCAGTAACGTGTGTGACATGCCCCTACCGTGTGCTTTCCGTCACGAGGTCCCTGTGCCCTGGTGTGTGTGCACACACACACGTACACAGGCACACACATGCATGCACACACGTGTACACACACGTACACATTTGTGCACACGTGCATGCGGCTTTCACTTTCCTTAAAAGGGGGCGTGGTCCCAAAGGGAGGAGACAGTGCTGCTCCTGGAAACCCGAGCCAGTCGCTGCTCTTGGGAAACCCTTGCCCTGCGCAGGGGCTGGGCTGCCTCCAGCTGCTCCTCCCCAGGGGGACTGAGCTCACCCACAGGAGGGACTGATTCCCTGAGAGGACGAAGGTCTGCTCGCCGTTGGGCGCGGGACTCGGGCTTGGAGTTGAGGCTGCACGGTGAGGGCCCCACTGGACAGACCGGCAGGGCCGGGGGAAGGGAGGCAGCTCTGACGCGGGAGGAGAGACCGTCGCCGGTGGGGACGTGGTGAAATGGACCAGGTCACCAGCCGGAGGAAGTGGAGGAATGACGTCTCTCTCGGCTTCGAAGTAGAACATCTGCCGAAGACGACGCTGATGGGTCATCAGACCTGATCCCTCTAGCACGGGGCGTGTGGACCCCTGAGACGATGGGGCCTCCACAGGTGGCCCGCCGTATCGGGGGGCGTGGACACTGAGGTCCTCCCCGAGGCTTCCCCGAGGACCTGTGGTCATCCTGCCTCAGGGACGAGCCCGCGCTGGGCTCCCCAAGCGCGTCTGAAGCTCTGCCTCCCTCCTGCTGGTCATCCTGCCTCAGGGACGAGCCCGCGCTGGGCTCCCCAAGCGTCTGAAGCTCTGCCTCTCCCTCCTGGTTCGCAGCCTTGGGCAGCGGGCTGAAGCGAGGTGACGGGGAGGCCAAGTGTCCAGTTTCTGGGACCTGGTTGGCCCTGGGCCATCTCCTGGAAAAGGCAGCTGGGACAAGGCGTGGCCCCTCACCGCCCCCCCAGCTCGGGGCTCGCCGACGGACGTGCAAACCGAGAAGCCACGTGGACACATCTCCTCGCTGCGTCACTGCAGATGTCCTGCTGGGCTCGATGGGTCTGTTTATAGTCCTCTCATCGGTCCCTGCCTGGGTCTCGCTGACCACACCTGGGACAGCGCTCCAGAATCACGGGAAGGAGGGAGCAGCGGCCCTGGGTGGGTGCAGGTCGTGCCTCGGCTCTGGAGCACAGCCCTGCGCGCGGACGGCTGCCTGTGGCTTTCCTGCTCCCTCGCAGACAGCCTGCATCCCGCCTGCCAGCCCCTTCTTCCCGTCCTGGGACAGGGCTCTGGTCTGACCTGGTCCCTGCACACGGAAGGGAGTGGGAAGGCCTCTGGGAAGGAGCGTGAGCGTGAGGTGTCATCTCCAGGCACTTGACTCGAGCAGCCCCTGCACCCGTGACCGGGTCCTTGTGAAGTCGGCTTGCGCTGACGAGCAGGAGCCGCTGGTGTGGCCCAGGTCTCCTCGCACTCACAGGACTCTCCCTCCGTGGGGTCCCCCTGCGCACCCCCGAGATCAGTCTGAGCTGCGCTCAGGGAAGCTTGCCAGACATTGCGTGTGGGCAGCTCCTCCTGGGCCGTGCAGACGTTGCGTGTGGGCCCCTCCTGGGCCGTGCAGGCTGGGAGCGTGGACAGCAGCCCTCGACCCGCCCAGCCCCTGGACCTGGACACCGCAGGCCCGTCCATGTCTCTCTGGGGTCCGGGCTGTGGTGGACAAGATGTTCTGTTGACCTTTGTCCTGCTTTCCTCTCTGCAGAGAACGTGATCAACGGGCAGGACTACGAGGTGATGATGCAGATCGACTGCCAGGTGATGGACACCAGGACCCTGCACGTCAAGAGCTCGGCGGTGCCGCCGTACCTTCGAGACCAGCAGAGGAACCAGACTGGCGCCTTCTTCGGCTCCCCGCCCACGGCCACAGAGGCAGCCCGCGTGGTCAGCACCATCCCGGAGTCCCTGCAGTAGCACCCAGGCTGCGTGGACACCGGACTGGACCCTGCAGGCTGGGTGGGGGGGCTCCCGTCTTCCTGGGGGCATTCAGGAGCTGCCTCATGGATGAGTCGGGGACGGAGAGGAGAGGAGCTGCCCCGCTCCGTGGCCCGTCCCCTGGGAAAGCCCAGGTGCAGACTCCGGGCGGCACCTCCTGGGCACGCTCCCCGCCGTGTGGCTCAAGTAGATGCTCCTCTCCTCTGAGCGCTTTCCTGTGTGTGTCCTGTTCTGTCTCCTGCCCTCTGCCCTTCCACTCCGACGCCCGTGCACAGCGAGTGTGCGGAGGTCCACGGCCCAGCCTTCTCGCCGCCTCAGTGGGAACCCACCGTGTGCTGGGAACACGTTTCAACCAGAACAGCAGACGCTCCCCGGAGAGCGGGAGCAGCACGGGGCGTCGGGAGAGGGGAGCCCGCATGGCCGCACCTGTGTCTGGTGGCAGCAGGCTGGCGAGGGGGAGGGACGGGTCAGTGAGTGGGGGGGCCAGCAGCACCCTCCCTCAGACCCTGGACCTTCGGTGTCGTTGCCGACTGTGGCTGCAGGGCCACCGAGCACCGGCGTCCGTGCGGGGCCTTCTCTCTGCTGGCCCAGTGCAGGCCCCAGGGCCTCGACCTGCCCCTGCTCCACGGCGACCCCGCAGCCAGCGGAGGGCACGCAGGCGGCTGCAGGCAGAGCGGACGGGAGCTCTCCGCTTGGGCGGGAGGGCGTTTCATCCCCAGACTCCGCAGACCGGAGGCTCCCACAGCACGGCAGCGACGCCGTTCCCCAGCGGAGGCAGCTCGCTCTGGTTCTGTCCCCGATTGAGGGCAGGAACAAGCTGAAGCTGCTGCCTTGTGCCACCACCTGCCCCGTGTCTGAGGTGAGCCTGCCTGCCTCCCTCCACGGACTCCTGTCCACGGGCACTGCCTCTCCCTCCCCCGTCCGCCCTTCCCTCGCCCTGCCGGTGCCCCTGTGAGAGGGGGACACAAGCCACCAGCGGGCTCTGCCTGGGGGAGCAGCACCGTGCTGGAGGCGTCCCTGCCCAAGCTGTGAGCGCTCCCGAGGGCTCAGTCCAGCCTTGTGAGGGCCGGGGCTCTGTTGCTTGGTGGCTGGGGAGGCTGGCCTGGGGCACCTGTGCACCAGCCGCCATTGCCAGGGCGGACCCTTGGGGTCTGCGCAGCGCCCCCGACCTGGCATCCTGGGTGATGTTCTGACAGGCCTGTTCTCCCTGCGGCCTCTGACCTCGTGGGCGCCTGCGCTTGGCCCTGCCCCTGCCCCTGCCCCTGCCCCGTGCTGTGGGTCGGCCAGACCAGGGCTCCCAGGCAGGGGCCTCGGTGCAGAACCAGTGTGAGTGGTCCCAGGGTCCCTCCTGCACTGAACCATGGGGACACCTCCCCCCTTCCTCCTCCTCCTGCTCCTTCCCCACCCCCTCCCCCTTCTCCTCCACGCGGCTTTAATGAGACCAGTTCGGTCCCAGAGTGCCCTGTGCTCATGGACCTCTTGTCACATGAGGACTCACTCATGTCCTCAGCCAGGGGGAGGCGTCAGGACCGGGAGCAGGTGGGATAAGGCTGAACCCCCCATCCCTGTGTGGAGACGTCAGAGTAGGCTGGGGGTCCCTCTTCTTCCTGAGTTGGGGCACGCTCTCCTCAGTGCAGAGCCTCAGGAATGAGTGACAGGCAGCTGACGAGCAGAGAACGTGCTGTTCATGCTGTCACCGTGGTTCTCACCGTGGTTCTGTGTCCCTCGCAGCCTGGGCCCCAGGGTGTCACCGTGGTTCTCACCATGGTTCTGTCCCCCTCACAGCCTGGGCCCTGGGGGGACCTGCAGAGCTGGGTGAGGCGTGAGATCTGGTGTTCGGCTTGATGTCTGTGAAACTGCCTTTGGATGTTGCAGCCGGAGTTCGGGGATGTGTGTGTATATAATGCTTTAATTTATTACATTCTTCAGGGGGTTTACAGGCGTGCGAGAGCTGCACTGTGCTCCGGGAGGGGCAGCCTGCTGGGCGTGGGCACCCGCGCTGTCGGGTCGGGTGGGAGGGCTGCGGGGGACACAGAGGTCCCGAGGCTCCGGGCTTGGAGGTGGGTGCTCTGCTGAGTCAGGTTCTTGGTCAGGAGCTGGCCAGCTCATGAATGTCCACCAGGCCATCGGCGGGTCAGTGTCCTCCAGCACAGCATCCCCCTGCGCGTGCACACCCAGGGCATCTTCTGATCTCGTTCTGTTCCTCCTCGCTTGAAGATGTTTTTTCCATGGATGTTTTTAGAGAGAGTGGGAGGGAGGAAAGGAGGGGGAGAGAGACACATCAATGGGCTGCCTCCTGCCCACACTCTGACCACATGTGCCTCTGACTGGGTCCGAGGGTCGAACCCGTGACCCTTCCGTGCACGAGTGGGCGCTCTAACCATGCAGCCACGCAGCCCAGGGCCTCTGGTCTTGCTCATGAGCACAGGCTCCAGCCTGGAGCACGTCCCTGCCTTTCCCTGCTCGTGGCCGTGGCCGTGTTTCTGAGCAGCGGCTCAGGCTTGGTGTCCTGAGTACGTGTTACTCAGAAGCAGACGGAGAACTCGGGATTTTCGACCCTGTGTGAAGACACCGTCCTGATCACGCTCCCGGCCGGGCTGCCGTGGCGTCGGCCAGGGGAGCAGCGCCCTCGGCTGTCCTGCCACCGCCTCTGACCGGGCTCAGGCGGGGAACCCGGACAGCAGGTGTGTCAGGGACGAGCTCGGCACTGCATTCGACTCCTGGCACGTGGGACGTTCCCCGGCGACCTGCTTCCAGCACCTCTGAGGGGAGCACGAAGGGCGCGACCTCGGGGACCCCTCCCCCCACAGCCTGTCGGGGGACCTGGCCTTCAGGCGGCTCTTTTGCGGCTGCTTCACGAGTGGGCCTCTGGGTACATGGGTCACACCCTCGCTCCTGACCACACGGCTCTGTCAGTCCTGTCGTTTTAATCGCAGAAATTAGGGATCTTTGCTGCTGATATGAACACTGAGTGTAACTTTTACCTTAAAGACAATAAGGCCTAAAAGCAAAAAACACAGAATGTAAGAAATTTTCATTCCTGCCCCTAATAAAGTTTGGGATGAGGCACCTCCTGTGCCCCTTCCCCTGAGGGTCGTGGCTGGTTGTTAATTTTCTGGGACACAGAATCTGAAGTCCAGGCGGGACTAGCGGCTCCTCCTGCTCGAGAAGGGGTGTCAGTTCTGCGAACCCACATCTCAGTGACTGCGTGTCACACCAGTTTGTTCTGGCGCGACGACTCCCAGCACTTTGTTCCCCCGTCTGTGTTTCTGCGCAGTGGCCAGAGGTCACGGAAACGTCCCTGCTGGGCACGGGCGCCCCACTCCACGCCGGGGTCCTGACCCGAGCATGAGTCAGCATGTTGAAGGTCCCAGCTCATCACTGGCCAAGGTCAGCACCCGCTGCTCCGATGCTTGTCCCGGGGAGTGTGGCCATGAGTCACATGAGCAGGAGGCTGGCATGTCCCCACCGGACGGTCCCAGAGGGTCAGCAGCTGCCGGCACCAGCTCACCGAGCCCTGGCTTCCGTCGGTCACCGGGGCGGGGTGGGGGTGGCGCTGCAGATGAGGACCCGACGCCCCACGGGCCTGGGAGACCCTGCAGCCTGTTTACGCGCTGGCGGTGGGGCTGAGCCCCAGGACTTCCGCTGTGGAGCCCGGTGAACCTGGGGGTGGGGTAGGGGTGCCATTTCCTCAGGGTCTCCTTCCTCAGGCTGGGCGTACGTTGGCCGTGACAGTGAGGGGCTGGTTCGTAGCAGTTCATAGACTGCCACGCACTCTTCCAAGAGTCTCAACCACGCGACACTTGTTCTTTGTCTAAAATTCAAATGAAGAATCTTTAAACGCACCGAGCTTTGCTCTGCGTGAGAGGAAGTGTGTCCTCAGCGTTGGGGGCCATGATGAGGCGGAGCCTGAGACCCTGGGACGGTCGGCGAAGCCGCTGAATTCTCCCCGCCCCGCGAAGTCAGGTTCTGTCGTCGTGTCCAGACCGTTCAGCTGCATCTCGTCACGGAAAGTAAATTGTCTAAACATCTCATCCTTGACCCTGTTACAGAAATGGGTCAGCTCGGACCCCTTCCCAGGATGACGGGCAGTGCGGAGGGGCGGGGCCAATGCAGCATCTCCACGCCGGGTGCGCCACGCACTGTAGGATCATCAGCCAGCAGCTCAGCCCGGGGCCGCTCTCCAGATGGTCGCGTGGCCAGTGGCAGGACCAGGCGGGCCCGGCAGGAACACACGCCATTACCACTCCGGCTTCTCAGAGGCAAAGTTGTGGCTCTGGAAAGCCAGACCCCAGGCGCCCTCCTGCAGAGAAAGCGCGGACATTGAAGTGGGGGCTGAGCAGCAGGAAGGAGAGGGGGGCCCCCGCCACAGCCTGGTCCTGGTGGAGGGGAACCCGTCCTCGCCATTGTCCCAAATTTCCAGCAAATACTTCGAGACCATCGTTTGGGGAGCGAAGTGTTGGGACCCGGGCTCGGGGTGGTGTCACCAGAGAGGGAGGTGTGAGGACAGTGGTCCCTGCTCCGGAGTCAGCAAAGCTACCAAAGAGGGAGCTGGGGCACCCCGCCCCGTCCTAGCCACCAGGTCTCGTGGCCTTGCCCCATGGGGCTTCCCACTGCCAGCGTGGGGTCTCGAAGGTGCCCACAGTGACAAGCTCACCGTCCGTGGCGTGTCCCGGCCTCTGTTGCAGACACGGAGGCCACTCCGGTCGCTGTGCGTCTCCCTCATCGAGCCCAAGCATCTGGTGAGATCTCACATGTGCCCAAGGGCGCCTTTCCCCGGGTCACTTCACGTTGGCAGCCAAGGCCACGGAGCACCTCTGCGGGCACTGCCCTGCACTGCCCAGCACTGCTCCTTCGACCTGCAGCAGCCTCATGGCAGTTGGAGACACGGGCACGTGCCAGGGCTGCGGTTTGTCAGCAAGTCATCCCTCAGAGCCGTCTTCCCTGGACCACGTTGCCACCAGCCTTCAGAGCCGGGGAGAGCGGGCGCCACGTGGAGGCGTCCCGGGGGCCCGGGTCGAGATGGCACGGGGCGACGGCAGCAGCCCAGCCCAGGCCCGGTGCTGGCGGGTTTCCCGACGGCTCGGCTCGAGAGTGTGCTTGTGGGAAGCACCGGGGCCGCTGCGGGTCTCCTGGACCCCCACCTGCGTCTCGGATGCGTCACCCGTTGGGGGAGACAGGCCGCTGCCCCAGTCCCAGAGCCCAGTGTGACAGTCCACCCTCCTAGGGTGTCCGCTGCCCATGGATGCTGGGCAGGGAGATGGTGAGAGTGGCTACTGATGTCCAGGCCTGAGACTGAAATGCTTCAGCCCAGAAGTGACAGGCCTTTGAAACAGCTGCTGCAGCCCGGCCATGGGCTCAGTGGAGTGAGC